TCAAGGCACTACAGTACATGGATAAGCACTACACAGTCTACACTACATGAAGTTAGCTGCTCATTTCATCATCTTCATCACTAGAACTACCTCATGCATCTCCTACTGGCTCCTCATCATCTTCATCTATTGGCTCCTCATGCTTGCCCTTCTTGTCGCCTAGGGTCGAGGTGAAGATGGGGGCATTACTGAAAGGCTTGCGCTTTCTGTAACTCCGCCAAATCTCAACTACCTCATCGTAGTTGGGCTCGTACTGCATGAGGGACAGACACATGAGGTCCCCCAGTCTCGCGTCCTTGATCCCCCCCCGCCGCCATGTCTTATTCACGTTCTGCCGGGTGAATCCCCTTTCACACTCCACTGTGCTGAGGGGAATCACAGCCACCACCACCCAGAGCTGCACCAGATTGGGGTAGCTCTCCCGCCAGTCTGGCGTCTTCAGGATCGCCGTCGGACCGCTGTGGAAGCCCCGCTCTTCCTTGGGGGCACACGCAAGGACTGAACAGAAGAGGCGAAGCTCCTTGACTGCCTGCCTCTTTTTGATGCCTGGTGGAAGGGAGGGAGGCAGGGTTCAGAAGAGACAAAGGAGCAAACTGAACCAAAGGATTGTCATTCAAACATATGGATGAAGTCATGACTTGACAAGTTAGGCTTAACGAACCTGGCAAAATCTCCTCACGGTCCTGAGCCTTGAACATCGTCACCAGCGAGTTGAGCCACTCCTGGCAACGCGCATTCCGCTCGGACTTGCCCTGTGGCCATGCATCAGGAGTGAAGAGGCGGACTCCTGAAAGCGAGTCGAGATCACCGAGCCGACCCTCCAGGTTCGCCACGATCCGTTCCGCGAACTCGGTGCACAACTGGATGCAGCCGTCGTGGTCTTCCGGGCCGCTGTACGAGTCCACGGGCTCGTCGTGAAGGGTGAACGTGACTGTAGATGGCCGGCCGTCACTGTCGACACCTTCCACCTTCACTTCGCGGCTACACCCCGGGCCATGGCGCTCCAGGAAAGGTGACAGCCACTGGCTGCTGCCACCGCCGAAGTCATCGCCGCAGTCCACGTAGCGGCTCTCGATGTGATGCGTGGTCCGCTTGATCTGCGCATGCAAAGACACCAGATCAAGCTGGACAGACGAAGGCATACAGTGACAATGTTAGTGACGGCCGAAATAGGGTTACATGCATGGGGAAAATCGCACCACCTCACCTGTCTCCGCTGGAAGGTCTTGTTCAAGATGTTGAGCTGCTCAAGCACATCTGCCAGGAAGTAAAGGAAGAAGTGAAAACGATAGGAGCTTGCCAGCGCGAACATTTTGCTGTTAAGCTCCTTCAGCAGCACAATCACTGCCGGCAAGACAGCGACCAGGCGACGGACGGCATCCCCCCGTGACAGCCACCGAACGGAGTGGATGCCTTGCACTTCAAGGCTTGTTTCGGTGATGACCTCTTGCAGGTCCATGAACCGTGCGTGGCGCGGTCCCGACCGACCAAGCAAATCTGCCACAGCCCGGATAAGATCGTCGACCATGTCGAAGACGGGGAGCTCCTCTGCCGCATCCTTCGCTGCAAGTGCTTCCCTGCAAGTGGAACACATCACACGGGGGAAATCAGATATGTCCTAAACAGACAGTGGAAACGGGATGGAAACTGAACCGCATAGCTCACTAACCTGTGCGCGATGCAGTGAACGGAGACAAGGTGCGGGATTTTCTGTCGCAGTCGGACAACCAATCCGGCCTTAGTCCCCATCATCACTCGTGCGCCGTCGGTGCAAATGCCGGAAATCCTCTGCAGGTCGACACCGACGGCCTGCAAGTGGGAAAGCAGGACGCTCAGAAGAGATGAAGCGTCCGCCTTTTCCACCGTGATTAGCTGCATAAACTCGGTCACGAGCACGTTGTCGCGAATTAACGAGGCGTACAGGATCATGTGCTTCCCCCTGAGCCGATCCGTGCTTTCATCGATGCAGATGCCGATGAAAGGGCTTGTCAGGATGTGCTCTAGCTGAGTTGTCTGTAGCCAGGTAGCAAGGGCCTGCGTGAGCTCACCGAAGCCGTACCTGCCCACAGGGAAACAGAAAACAGGAGATTAGAAGTAGGTTAATGTACAAACATCACAACACACCAACAAAATACAGGGGGAAGGTGTACTCACGTTGTGTAGTAGGTGCCATATCCCTTCTTTGGGAAGCCTTGAACCCCCTTGCGCGCGAGGTACTGCACCAGCTTTACCCATGTTCCCATGGGCGCATCGCATGAACTGACGAACAGCATGGAGTCGAGCAACGCCACGACTCGGTTCTTCTCAGCATCGACGGCGGCTCGATGTTGGTCGATTCGTGGCTGCTTCGAGGCCGCGTTCAGCAGGGCCTCCTGCTTCTCCATCGCAAGCTTGTGTTTCGTTGTGCCGGCGTGCTTGCGAAACGCCTGCGTCTGCACGTCGGTGGCCCCGCTCCCTGTCTGGCCACAACGTCCTCTGAGTCCGGCATGCTTGGTGCAGACACTGCACTTAAAAGCTGGGAAACCAGATTGAGATTTGGTTAGCACAAGCCACGGGAACCTCTCAGACCACCTATTTTTGTACTTCAAGAGAGCGTCTGCATAGACTGCTTCAACTGCTTCCGAAAGGTCAACGAGCAATGATGGATGAGGGGATGAGTTGGTCACGACAGGTTGCTCGACGGCGGTGCTGGAAGAAGGCTTTGCCCAGATCAGCGTCGCCTGCTTCAGTTTGAAGTTGCGCGTTGCAGGCGACTCGACAACCACTGTGTCGGAGACGGCAGCAGGCGCAGCAGGTTCACTCCGGATGGAGTCCGGGCTTGTAGATGGCGGTGGGTGGTCGCGGTTCACCCTCTCAACTGGAGCAGGCTTTGTTGTAGGAGGCCTGGTAGCGTGGAGACCAGTGCCTAGCGAGCGCAGGAGCATATCAAGCCCCGTCGTGGCTTCCTCTAGGCCGTCAAGTTCACGGTCGGAGCCACAAAAGAAGGCCCTCTCCTTCTCACCACCCAACTGCAACGCGGCGCGACGTGGGGGCACCATGCACGCACTTGAGGTGGGTGTCTTGTCGTGAGTGAGTGCAGTGCTTTGCTGTGTTGCACTGGTGGTGGGTGATTGGCCCATAAGGGATGTGATTGGTTAAACAACCAGTCCCATCACTTACAGCATTCTGTCGGTGCCAACGAAGCAACCGACGCGACGGGGAAATTCGTTTTCCCGCTGCGCCGGCGCTGTACATGGCCACATTAGCGTGATTGACGGTGGTTGTACCTGGACAGCCGAATCTCGCGGCTCCAGCACGAATCTGTACAAGCGTGATTTCAGCCTACTCTCGCGTTACAAGTCTGATCAATCAGACTACACTTGTAAAAAAACGCTGGGAATTCAGCCACACCTTAAAAAAAAAAACTGAAAAATCAGCCAACTACTTAAAAAAAAAAACTGAAATTTCAGCCAACACCTCTTCCACATGTCTGTGAAATCAGCCTCTAGACACTAATTCAGCCTTTTTTCTCTGACATCTGAGGCCCTGGCTAATTGCCATGGCAAATACATACCGGTAGTCACTTAGCTATCATTCACTAGAATTTTTTTAATATACCGTAGTGGAAGAAAAAAAAATGAACATAACGATTGTAATAGGTTGCTTCGCAACCCAAAAAACAGCAGTCTGAAGGAGGTAAAAGTAAATTCTACTGTACAGGGAAGCACACACACACTGGTAATCCCATTTCTAGTACCATACACAAGTGAACCAGCCAACCAACCTGTCAGGCAAATACCGTAATCACCCGGACATACCACCCTAGGGTGCTATGATAACTACATCAAAAAAAGGGGGGGGGTCTTGTCATGGGAAAAAGCTACATAACACCCGGGTCTTTTTATAATGTACATTTTTTTTAAAGCAGAAACGGTTGGGAACAAAATGTACATGCTTGCTGCGGTGGTAGATTGTTGGTTCGGTGCGCAAAACCGAGGATGAGGTGATAACGTTAGGGCGTGTGCACTGTGGGCGAAATTTGTCAAAGTTCAAACATTCACCGCTTTGCACCGATTAGAACCTCGCTAAAATTTCGAACTTAGACAGAAGTTTGAACCCCTAGTGCACACGCCCTTAGCCTCGAGTGGAAGCTGCCACATTGCAAGCTCCAACAGACCCTCTATCATGCCCTGATTGGTCGAAAACACACCCCCCGTCGCTCGACGAGGATTCATGCAGTCACAGAGGCGGGAGTCCCGCAACAGGCTTAGCAGCCTCGCTGGTGCGATCACGTCCCTGCGCAAAATTTAGGCAAAAACAACAATTTTTTCCGTACATAACACCCCCCCCCCGGGTCTTATACCGGATCGGCCCAAAAGGGGGGTATAGTAGAAACGAGGTCCGCTATAGCACCCACCCCGCACAAGCCACCCGGGGGGTGTTCTATTTCGGCGGGTGGTATGTCCGGGTGATTACGGTAGTTCCCTAGCCTCCAAGCTACCGCATACGGTTGCTCCCACCGTTGCTCCATCCCCCCCCCCCCACCCCCCCTTCTCTCCCCCCCCCTCCCACCTCCCGGATATGACGTCCTTGCCCCCTGTCCATCCAGCTAGGGTCGCCTACGAGGAGCAAGAGACGGGTCGAGGCAGCGCTTCTTAGCAGCGTTGAACACGAGGCCCTCGGGGCACTGGCACTGTGGCTGGCCCCCCTTCACAACGCACTGTGCACTTCCACAATCATTCTCACACATGGCTGTTGTGGGCACCACAGAGAGACAAACAATCCAGACATGAAGAAGGGGGGAATGGATTTTCAGGCATGGTGAGTCGAATGAAAGAATCACAAAAAAGAAGAGCTTGGGTGTCTCGCTCTATCTTACGGTATCTCTCTCGTTTCATTGATTTCATCAGAATGAGCAAAGCACAAGCTAGCGTGCTTGGAGATCTTCTCTAATGTGCACGTGACACTCTTTACGTGAAGGGAAAATAACACCAGCGTAACGTGCATGCACTCGCACTTACTGATCTCACAGCCAACTGATAACAGCGAACGGATTCCTTTGACAGTCCTGAGTGCGGGAGAGGTAAGGATGGGAAAGAGCAAAGCTTAGGACGAGCTAGGGTCCATTCACACTACAACTACGAGACAGTCAAGCAATTTCTGGTGATAGAAAAGTGCCGTACTATGTGATGCAAGCACATTGGAACAAACCATGCAGTTGCATGCATAACGCTCACTCACTTGATGGTGACGGGGTAGGAACTGCCCTTCTTTGCAGGACGCGCAATGGTGAAGCCCAGCTTCTTCGTGCAGCCCGACTCGGCGTAGAACGACAAGCTCTTGCACATGGCGTTGCTAGGGGCGTCGCGGGAAGGCGAGGTGGGGTTGGAGGCATTCCACACGACGGTGATCTTGGCGGTGCCTTCGATGGTGACATACAGGTTGCCGCACGCACTGCTGCCACTGGCCTGCTCTGCCGGCAGCGGCAAAAAGAAGGTGGCGGGCACAATGCTTCTGGAGCCTCCTTGCTGCAGCGCCACTGTCGTCCGCGCCAAGGGAGCTGACAGCCGTTCAAGGAGACGGGCAATGCCAGATCATGGCCGTTGAAGGTTGCGTGACGATGATGGCGGTTTGGAGGCAGGACAGGAGAGAGGAGAGCAAGGGGGCAGACCAGACAGGGGGGAAGGCACGGGAGGAGTGAGGAGGGGTGAACGTTTCCGGCCCTGCCTCTCAGCGGCGCCTCTCAGTGTCTCAAGGAATGTAACGATGAGACGATGAGATGCCTCAAGGAATGTAGTGCCTAAAGCTCACCAGTGAGACTGAAACGATGAGATGCCTCAAGGAATGAAGCTACTGCTCACGAGTGCAGCACTCACCATAGCACGTCTTGTCAGCCTCGTTGAAGGCAAGGCCATTCTCGCAATAGCAGAAAAAATCGTTAGGACCGAGAGTGGTGCAGGAACCCTCTAACCCACACACCCCGCTGCCGGCACACGGGTCTGCAGAGGAAGCGATGGTGACGCAGGGAGAGCAGGTTAAATGGTGACGCAGGGAGAGCAGGTTAAATGGTGACGCAGGGAGAGCAGGTTAAATGGTGACGCAGGGAGAGCAGGTTAAATGGTGACGCAGGGAGAGCAGGTTAAATGGTGACGCAGGGAGAGCAGGTTAAATGGTGACGCAGGGAGAGCAGGTTAAATGGTGACGCAGGGAGAGCAGGTTAAATGGGTGAAAATGTTGCTTATGATTGTGCACTCCCCCACACGCGCGCACTCGACCACACACTAGCACTCACCCACACACTAGCACTCACCCACACACTAGCACTCACCCACACACTAGCACTCACCCACACACTAGCACTCACCCACACACTAGCACTCACCCACACACTAGCACTCACCCACACACTAGCACTCACCCACACACTAGCACTCACCCACACACTAGCACTCACCCACACACTAGCACTCACCCACACACTAGCACTCACCCACACACTAGCACTCACCCACACACTAGCACTCACCCACCACACACGTCTTGTGGTCATCGTCGAATACAAAACCGTCCTTGCACACGCACACGGGCATGTCTATATCAACAGTGCAGGTAGCTTCTCCACAGTCTTCGTTGGCACACAGGTCTGCACAGAAATCGTGATTGTTTCACGCAGGGGCGAAGAGGCACACACACCAGCACAAAGGCAAGGTAGGGAAAGGGGGTTCAAACGAGTCAGTTTCTGCTATGATTGTGCGCCGCTGAACCAAACGCCAGCACTCATCCACACGCCAGCACTCATCCACACGCCAGCACTCATCCACACGCCAGCACTCATCCACACGCCAGCACTCATCCACACGCCAGCACTCATCCACACGCCAGCACTCATCCACACGCCAGCACTCATCCACACGCCAGCACTCATCCACACGCCAGCACTCATCCACACGCCAGCACTCATCCACACGCCAGCACTCATCCACACGCCAGCACTCATCCACACGCCAGCACTCATCCACACGCCAGCACTCATCCACACGCCAGCACTCATCCACACGCCAGCACTCATCCACACGCCAGCACTCATCCACACGCCAGCACTCATCCACACGCCAGCACTCATCCACACGCCAGCACTCATCCACACGCCAGCACTCATCCACACGCCAGCACTCATCCACACGCCAGCACTCATCCACACGCCAGCACTCATCCACACGCCAGCACTCATCCACACGCCAGCACTCATCCACACGCCAGCACTCATCCACACGCCAGCACTCATCCACACGCCAGCACTCATCCACACGCCAGCACTCATCCACACGCCAGCACTCATCCACACGCCAGCACTCATCCACACGCCAGCACTCATCCACACGCCAGCACTCATCCACACGCCAGCACTCATCCACACGCCAGCACTCATCCACACGCCAGCACTCATCCACACGCCAGCACTCATCCACACGCCAGCACTCATCCACACGCCAGCACTCATCCACGCGCCAGCACCACAAGCCTTCTGCCAGTGGCGTGTGGCAGTCAGCCTACTCACCTTCAGCGGCGCTGGCGTGGGTCGCGAGGAAGCTGATGGCAACGACACCAGCGACGACCGCGGCAAGGCCACACTGGCCGGACAGGCGCGTGTAGCGAATCATGGCGACAGGAGTCGGCGCGGGGAACGGGAAGTTTGGGTTTTTGAGGCGCGTCCAAAGGCGGCCCGAGGAAACGGGAAGAGTGGGATGACGATGACGTGGCGATGGCAACGAGCTTCAGGCCCGAGTTGAACCGCCGGGATGGGACTGACGACGCTGGCACTCGCGATGAGGTGAGATTGGGCGGGACCTGCCACTGAGACGATGCGACTGAGAAGGTGCCACTGAGACGATGCCACTCAAGGTGCGACCGAGAAGATGCGATTGAAAAGGTGCGACTGAGAAGATGCGATTGAAAAGGTGCGATTAAGAAAGTGCCACTGAGAAGGGAGGAGACGAAGGCGCGCAATGAGCGAGGAGCGGTGGGAGAATGTGATTGAGCCCTCGGGAGCGGGCGTCGATTTATATTCAGAGCGAGTGGTCAATCGCACATGATGAATTATTATTCCTCGAAATTGGCTCGTGGATCATGTAACGAGTTTCGTCACGGAAGAAGGATAGGAGGAGAGGAGGGGTGGGGGTGAGGGGGAGGAGAGGAGGACGGGAGGGGGTGAGGGGAGGAGAGGAAGCTCAAGGGGATCGGCACTGCGCCGAGGCCCGGAAACGCGCATTCGGTGGACTTTAGGACTAGATGATGATGGTGTTGCGGCAGCGAGAAGGTCGACCAAGGGTGTGGCGAGTGTCGTCATGGTGGGCACAAGGGGGAGGAACGCGAATGAGTGGACGAGGGGAGCGGCGATGACGGGAGGAAAGCCGTTCGGGAGGCGCGAGCGTGCGGCTAGTGAACGCGTTAAGTTGGCCAATCCCAATGCACAAAGGCGTGCTTCAAACTCTGGCTGGCCGCAGCGCAAACAAGCTTCTGCCTCGAGTATCAGTACCCAGCTCGAGTAGAGAGTTGCGACAAGTGCGGGAGTTGCGGAGAGTGATCCCTTGGATGAACGCGTTCAAGTTTGCGGTGGTGGTCGAAAAAAGGCTCAGAAGCGGACGTGGTTGAATACGGTCAATTACGTTTAGGCGCGGTTTTCGGCTCTTACCACATTGCGCACCAGGATGAACCATTCAAAACGAATTGGAACGTGTTTCGTAACGTCCTTCAATTGTTTTTCATATACCCTATATTTTTGTTACAGGTGCAATGATCTAAATCGAGAAAATTGCACTCGGGCGTCAACCGAGTACAAATTATGAGCGAAGGCATGGGAAAATACCTATACGAAACATGCAAGTGGTTACGCGGTGCGTGCAAGCTACCTAGTGCGATGCTGGCATCAAGGTTCGGGCTAGTCCCGAAGCGTAGGCTGACACGGCCGGGCCAACAGTGCATGGTTTGGTGAATAATGCACGCGAAGGTTGGCGAAGCCCCGTTAGCAGTAACGGGCGAACAACGGCTGCTGCTGTACGCGGTATTGAAGCACGCCGTAAAGAATGGTGGAAAAATCCTTACACTACCCACCCCCTGAAAAAACCTTCTCTGCTACGCGAGTGCATGTATACCACGAAAATCCCAGCTCCTCAGGTACACTTGCAGGGCAGGGTGGTTTTCGATGTTGGCCAGGGGCACCTAGCTGTATTTGGTCGGGATGCGGTCCTTCCAGCGAACGAGGAACTCGATCCTCCTGATTCCTGCGGGGTAGCGAATCCGATGGCTTAGTTTTTTTTCGGGGTCGACGATCGGCTCCGATGCAGGTCGAGTCATTGACGGTGGGCGATTGCGTGGCAGTTGGCTTGTGGTGGGGATGTACGGGTGGAGCAGGCTGACATGGAACGATGGGCTAATGTACCAGTCTAACGGTAACAGTAGGTGTCAAAACATGATAATGGTTATGTTGCGTAGGCTATAGTGGGGTAACCCTTAAAGGGTACAACCCAATTAGGGCTAGTACTTGTATTCATCTTGTTCTCAATGCCATCATTCTCGTTCAGTATTTTGACATGGTTTCAGAGCAGGTCCTATTCCACGACCGTTTTTTTAGGGCCCACCGAAGAGTACCCTGCCCGTCGCGCTGCCCCACTAGTCGCGTTGCCCTACCTTGCCCTTCCCTGCGTTGCGCCGCCCCGCGCACGCCCTGCCCTGCGTCGCGCCGCCCCGCGCACGCCCTGCCCTGCGTCGCGCCGCCCGCGCACGCCCTGCCCTGCCCGTCGCATCATCCTAGGGCCCGTGCGCCGCCTTGATCTGCCCGTTTCCCCCCGTGTCCGCGTGCCGCCCTGCTGGCAGCGCACCACCCTGCCCTGGCCGCACGCCGCCCTTCCCCGGCCGCGCGCCGCCCCGCCCTGGCTTGCGCGCCTCCCTAGTGCCCGCGCGTCGCCCCGAACAGACTTGCGTGCCTCCCTGCTTCCTGCGCGCCGCCCTGCCTTGCCTGCGTGTTGCCCTGCTGGTTGTGCGCCACCCTGCTCTGCCCGTTATGGCCTCTATGTTCTCACCTTCGATTCTGAGGGCCGTCCGATCCAGTTTGAGACCTGGCTAGACGACTTACAGCTGTACCTACTGAGCGAGTCTAAGGACAGTGTCTCCTTATTTGACCACACGTCTAGGAGCTCTCTCGGCCCCCCCGAGACAGCTGACAGTGCGACTCGCTCACAGTGGCTTACCCGTGACGCTACTGCTCGCCTCGCCGTTCGCAACCACCTGCCGTTAGCCAAACGCGTGCACTCCTCCCCTGCCACTGCTGCTCTAGGCCGACTCATACTGCCCTACCTCTTTCCTGAGCTGTCGGCCTTGTCCACAGTCGACGACCTCATCATACACCTTCTCATGGCACTCCTCGCACTCCCTTCTTTGAGGGGTGTTCCCCCTCCCCCCTTGCCCCCTCTGTCGCTTCTGCTGCTGCTGTTGACTTCCTTGGTGCTGCTTCTGCTCCTAGTGGGAGGCGCCACAGCGGCAAGGGCAAGGGAGGCAAGAGTGGTGGGGGTGGCGGCAGTGGAGGCGGTGGTGGTGGCGGTGGTGGTGGTGGTGGTGGTGGTGGCGGTGGTGGTGGTGGAAGTGGTGGTGGGAGTTGAGGCGTCGGTGGCGGCGGTGGTGGTAGCGGTGGGAGTGGTGGCGGCGGTGGTGGCAGCAGTGGGAGTGGTGGCGGCGGCAGTGGTGGCGGTCGGGGTGGAGCGGTCCAGAGGGGAGGTTCTGGTGGTGGCCAGAGGCAGCAGCAGCAGCGTCCCCATGAGACCCTCAGCTTCGTGAGTGGTTTGCTCAGCGTGGGGCGTCTGGGGGTAGTGTTCGCTGCCCGTACGTCATTCGCACATGTGATCGGGCTGGTCAGGCATGCGGGAAGGTTGGTCACACTCAGTACCGCTGCTTCTGCCGTCCTGACGACGCCTGGCGCGCAGAGTTTGGCGACGAGGCTGAACTCCCCCGCTGGCGAGAGCTGCTTAGGACCGATGTGGATATCTTTGCTCTTGACTATGATGCTATTCTTGCTGCCATGTATGCTTTGACTGTTAGTGCTGAGGGTGACTGTTACCTGTGTGTGCCGCCCGACCCAGGTATAGAGGCTGCTGCTCTAGGTGCTAGTGCGCCTGCTCTCTCTGGTACTGCGCCTGCTGAGGCCTTGCACACCTTCACGCTTGACTCAGGTGCTTCCCGCTGCTTATTTTGCGACAGTACTACAGTCACACCACTCCCTGCACCTGTTGCAGTCTCTCTGGCTGACCCCTCAGGGGGCCCAGTTCTTGCACGTTCCTCCACTATTCTCCCGTGTCCGGCGGTTCCGTGTGGCTCATTTTCCGGTCTTCACCTCCCCTCGTTCTCTACGAACTTGATGAGTACCACTGCCCTCCAAGATGAGATGGTCACTACCACCACTCCTGGGGGTCAGCGTGTGTCGATCTGCACGTGTGCACGGATGGGCCGTCACCTGGCCACGTTCACCCGTCGGCCTCAGTCGAGCCTGTACACACTGACTACTGAGCCTGCTCAGGTGGCTGTGTCTGGTCAGGTGTTCGCGTCAGGTCAGGTAGCAGCCCCCTGTTCGTGTCGCCTCCTCACGCACCACAC